TCTGCAAATCCCTGGAGCCATCACCTTCCCCAAGGGATGTGTGATGATTCCCAAAGGAAATGTGTGAATCTGATTTTTTTTCATGATTTTTTGTGCTGTTTTGGAGCTGCCTTTGGATCATCTCCCCGCGGGTCAGGCACGAGGAGAGGCACCAGGGTGGGATTGAGGCAGGGCCAGAGCAAACAGGGAACCACAAAGTGCCACCCCCAGTGTGCTACTATCGCTTTACAACCAGTTGGAATCTGCTCTGCTGTCCTCAGCCAGCCTGGAGAGGGATTCAGTGGTTCTGGAGCATCTCAAACAGCAAACAGAGCCAGAGGTGAACATTCCTTCTACTCAAAGGCTGGCACACACCTTATTTAAATCAGTTTGGTTTTGTTTGTGCCAGATACAAACACCTCTGCCACCCAAAAAACCACCAAGCACCTTCAAAGCAATTTAAAGCAGCTCATTAATAACAAGTAGTGGCGAGTAAAATAAATACTTGGCACCAATGTGTTGCCCAGCAGGAGAGAAAGGTTGGGGAATCTTTATTTAAACACAGTCTTCTCCTGGTTTTTCACAGCCAGGGCTGTGGATGTGTCAGGCTCAAAGTCTCACTTAAATTTCCATACCTGGAACCTGGCCCTTGTCACGTTTTATTCACCCACAAGATGAATTGTTCCATTTTCAAATCATTAAAAACCGAAATATTCGTGTTCCACTGTGAGTAAAATCAATGTGAGTGAGTGGCTAATTCAGTTTAAAGATGAGTAAATCAGGGATTGAAAAGTTTGATTCTGTAGATGAAGCCACACAATTCCCAAAACTCCATTTGCATAATGACCTACAGGCAAAAACTGTCAATATCAGGTCTTCCATAAAAAATAATAAAACAAAAGGAGGATGCCCAAAGAGATGCATTTAAGAGAAAAACCTAAATTTTGGCACCTCCTCAATGAGCAGAATCTCCTGAGAGGGAATAATTCCATTGTTTGCAGGATCTGAGGTGCTCAGGAGAGGAAAGCTGCTCCTGCCAGTGCCAGTTTAGGGCCACAATCCCCCTTGGCAGCCTTGGAGAAATCAGTTTCACACAGAAATTGCCAGAAAATTCCTTTTCCCTGTCAAGTCTCTTGGATATTGTTGAGTTTGTAACGTGCCTGTAACTCATTTTGTATCCACAATATCCCAGATGATGCTGGAGCACTCCAGAACTCAGGGAATAAAGCTCTATTTTTAAGGACAAACCATCCCTCCTGCTGATTCATGAATTTGTATTCTTTACTTTAAATCTGACCTGCACAAGCTTTGCCCTGAAAATCATGGAATGGTTTGAGTTGGAAGTTCAAGATCATTCCATGGGCCTGGAATCTTCCACCAGCCCAGCTTAGTCCAAGCCCCATTGCATTGATTTTTATATAATTATATATTATAAAATATAATATATATTTTTATATAAATAATATATATAACAGAATATATTATATA